GCTGATGAATATATTAACATGCACATCAAACCAAAGAACCACCTGCGTTCATCAGATTCTCATGTAGGCATATATGCCATAAACATTCCGAGTAAGTATTCCAAAACTGATGGTAATAATAAAGATTTACTCCTCTCAGTACTACTTGATTTCAGCCTTAAAAGAAATTTACTAAACCAGGAAACATTCTATCCTAACACCCTGGGTCTAAAACAAACAAGCCAAACCCTTTCAAAACTATAAATTCAACATGGTATTACTGACTGCACTCCAAAAGAAAAATATGCAAGTTGGAGAGAAAATATATGCAAGATACAGAAGAATATAAGACATTGGATAAATGTAAGGGCAATTCCAGAGATCACCTGTTAAATATATACCAGCAAAACATAAACAAATTCTAGCTAGGATGCAAAAATAAAGGTGGTAAATAAAAAAAACTTGTCTAAACTTATGTTATTCTAGGAGACTTACATATATGAATATCTTAATATGAAGGCCAATAATGAAAACTAGATGTCATAGACTAAGAATTCCAGAAATGATTTAAATTATTTTCAGGACTTCATAGATCAAACACAAATCCCAAACTCAGGCCTGGAAGCTGCCTGTGAACCTAAACCACACAGAGGCAGAGAGCAGAAGGATCAGGGTCTGAGGCTACATAGGGAGAACAGTGAGACCTCATCTCAGCCAAAAAACAAATATCGTGGTATGTGTTTGTAATTCCAGCTGTATAGAAGGAGGATCATGACTCAGGCTGGGCTGGAAAATGCCCACATACGTCATTTTTCTATCTGAAAATAATGAAAGCAGAAAGGATGGGGGGTGTTACTTACTTAGGCGGTACAGTGCCTACCTAGCAAGACAGAGGCCCTGAGGTCAACTCCCAGTAATGCAGAGAACATTTGTTTTTTAATTTGAAAGATCATAAGTGACAGAATGTGAAGAAAAGAAGCACTAACAACTGATGTTGTAAAAATCCCTAATAGTAGCCAGGCCCTGGTGGCTCACACTTATAATCCTAGCTACTCAGGGGACTGAGATCTGAGGATCGCAGTTCAAAGCCAGCTCAGGCAGGAAAGTCTGTGGGACTCTTATCTCCAATAAACCATGAGAAAACCAGAAGTGGCGCTGTGCCTCAGCAGTAGAGCACTTGCCTTGAGATGAAGAGTGCAGGGAGAGTGCCCAGTCCCAGAGTTCAAGCCCCATGACGACCCCCCCGCAAAAAAAATCCCTAATAGTGTTTCTTAGATTACCACAGTAACAAACACTAGATGACTCTAAATGACTAAACTTACTCAGCTGATTCATTAGTTAATTGTAAAAGTAAAAAAATCTAAATAATCCATCACTGCAAGGTGATACTATTACTCAGGGCTATTAAAAGTAATTGTAAAATGTAACAGCAAGTTAGACAATGTCCAACTTCACAGATAAGCAGAAATTACAATTTGTCAATTAAAAACAATCATTACAAGAATCAAATCCTCTGAGCCAGGTGCCGGTGGCTCATGCCTATAATCCTAGCCACTCAGGAGGCTGAGATTTGACAATTGTGGTTCAAAGCCAGCTTGGGCAGGAAAGTCCATGAGACTCTTATCTCCAATAAACTACCAGAAAAACCAGAAGTGGTGCTGTGGCTCAAGTGGTAGAGTGCTTGCCTTGAGCTGAAGGACAGTGCCCAGGACTAGAGTTCAAGCCCCACAATGTACACACACACAAAAACAAAAAGGAAAGAGAGAAAGAAAGAAAGAGAGAAAGGAGAAAGAGAGAGAAAGAAAGAGAAAGAAAGAAAGAAAGATTGTGAACTATGGAATAAAGTAAGTACTCATGAAGTTACACAGATAGAAATGAATCATTGTATCAAGGAGCACATAGGAGTAAAGGAACAGGTTTTCCTTACAAAATAATTCTATTTCAGCAATCTCACCTAAAGGGGAATATCTGAAATGTAGTTGAAGACTCAGCTGTTCCATGACATTAACATACCAATGATAACTTTTCTATCATAATAAAGTAACTGAAAGAGTGATTTCCCTTCTGCTAAATTAGGTTACAGTCATTAAAAATCTCATTCCCAGGAAATGTTTATGAGGAAATATTCATATGCAAAATATAAAAAACATTCATCTGTATTTATAAGGTATTTTTCACTTTGGTTATAATATATGTATGAATGAGTGTGGGTATGTAAACACTGGGAATCTATAAAATGGTTATGTCTGGTTGAGAAAACTGGTAATAAAGCTGTTTGTTTTACCTTGTAAGCCTTCTAAATGATACCTTTTGCTAACAAATAGTTTTAGATACAGATAAATTTGAGACAGTTGACCATATATCTCAAACATGGCCTTATCAGAAATGGCTTGGGCTTTAGCATAAATGCCTTTATTCTAATTATCTTAATTAGATAAAAAAGCTGCTACTGCCTTGATTTATTGACAAACATTAAGATAGAAACTAGAAATGTTTTGGTATTCTTAAAGAGAAAACCTATATGAAGTTATTCAAACACTAAATATTTTATCTATTTGATTTACTAAATCAACCTCACTTGGGCTAAGGAGTAGCATCTGCTTATATTTGGTATCTGTGAGCACAGATTTATTTTTAAAAATCTATGTACATTAAACATTCTTCTTCTATGTATAAATAGACGCCTTCAAACATGCATTCTGTATGCAACTGCATGGCATATAAAATGTGAATAAACACATTGATGCTAAACCTATTTGACATTTCATAATTCAGAAATAGCTTCAGTCAAGAGTACTACTTGATTTTACAACGCACAAAAAAACAGCTAATGGATGAAATACAGATAATAAAGTGAGACTTCAAATCAACAGCATGAGCTGGAGGGTAACATTCTAGGGCTGACGACAGTGCTTGTGAATTCCACACTTGCAGCCACTTTTATCTGGTTTTAGGTTATGACCACCCAATGCCTCACATCAAATAAAAGTGATCTAATTGAACATTCCATTCACATGCCAAATATTTTTACCTTTTAAAAAACACCTTTTGTTCTATAGATGCAGAATTGATCAAATACAAGATACTGATAAAACTCTGTGCCTATAACTATTTTGGCACTTTGTTTGCTTCAGTGAAAAGGTTGAGGCTAGTAAATGAACAGGTAGTACTACCTATTTACCCTTAATCTATGTGTGCTAAGAACCAGGAAGTCTTGAAAGTCTATCAAACGAGAAAAGCTCCATTTTGACTCTGCGTACCTCATTTCCAGAGTGGCTCAGCGGTAATGTCAATGCAGGTTAAACTGATGAAAAATTAAAGCATTCTATTTCTTTCTGGCATAGCTATGACAAGCTTTCATTGTGATTCATGTGAAGTTATCTAACTATACTGGATTGATTAGCTTATAAAACTAATATTATTAAATAAGAAAATGCCCACCTATAGTTACACCGATCAGGTATGAGCCTACGGATTAGTCAGTGTCAACTTTTTGCTTATATAAATGTACAATAGAAGGTAAAGGATCACCTACAAGAAGACGGTAGTTTTAGAATGCTATTGTTCACCAATATGATTTAGAAAGAGTTCTACTGTCAACTCAGAGAGGAAATAAGGATATTTTGCATAATTAAACTCCTGATAAAAAAGTGAGAAACAGAAAATCAGGAAAACAAATTGGGAAAGCATAAATTTAATTGTATAAACCTCTATACTTTCTTTTTTTGGGGGGGGTCCAGTCGTGGGGCCTAAACTCTGGGCCTGGGCGCTGTCCCTCAGCTCTTCAGCTCAAGGCTAGCACTCTACCACTTGAGCCACAGCACCACTTCCGGCTTTTTTCTTTTTTCTTATGTGGTGCTGAGGAATCGAACCCAGGGCCTTGAGCATGCAAGGCAGTTGCTCTACCACTGAGCCACCTTCCCAGCCCCCTCTATACTTTCTTATGATTCATTTTCCCCAAGTAAAATTTTAAAGAAGATATTACAAGAAGGCACAGAAATACTGGTTTTCTCTCCAAAGGGAAGATACTTAGCAAAAGATTAGCCAAACCTAATAGAAGCGCCTACTACCATACAAAAATGTAAAATTGTTTTTGGAGGTTTTTTTGGCCAACATAAATCAGATCAACAACAGCAACAAAATAAAATCTTCTTCTGGAGATTTAAAAATCTCATCACATTTGCTAGTGAGCCTGCTGCTAATATGATACACACTTGAAAGCCGCTATGTGTGTGTCTGTATCTGTCTACAGTCTATGTCTGTCTATTCATCTATAGATGCACGTTCATTCCTATGCACATTTGCACTTGTACACATTTATACATGTGAAAACCTAACGCCCTGATATGCTTTCAGAGTCACATGCATAGGTCTTAGAATCAAACCTTCTTGTAAGTTTTTTGGGGAAAATTCATACAAATTTCCTCCCCCAGAGCATATAGCTTTTGTTCATACTGTGTTCTATGCAAGATACTGTCTCTTGTTATCTCCGAATGTTTCTAAGAGTTAAGGACAGGTGTGTGTTTTGTTATGTGTGTGTGCATGAGTGTGTGTGCATGTGTGCTGATGCTTGGCTTGAACTTGGGACCTTGTGTTCGGCTATCTTGCTTAAGTCAAGCACGTTGTTGCAGCTGGAGTGCCACAGGCTTTCCTGTCCAGGTTGGCCTCAAAACAAAATCCTCCTTGCCTTAGCCTCCTGAGCAGTGACGCTCACAGGCTTGAGCCACCAGAAATCAGCTTGTCTCCTCTTCCTAATACTATTCTGGGACAGAGTATCCAGGTCGATCTGATCATGGCAGAACCTTTTAAAAAGGAACCACTGCCTTTCTTTCAGAAAGATGTTTATGTACCTAAAGAATAAAAGCAAAGAGCGTCTCAAGTGGTTCTGAAAACACAACCCGATGCCAGCTGGCACCGCTTGCCCCCCGAGGCCCCGCTGGCCCCTCTGGAGCCAGCTCTCGGCCATGCCTGTGTGGCTGTGTCCCCCTGGCCTGTGGGGGGAGGGGAACGAGGGTTCTTACCCTGGGGGGGAGGGGCGTCCGCCCCCTCGGGCTCCGCTTCTCCATCGCCGTCCTGCTGCGTGCTGCCCTCTCTCTCGATCAGCTTGTCCACCATGGCGATCACACAGTTCAGGCTCTTCCCCACGTTGGCCCACACCCTGTCCTGAGAGACGCAGAGTCTCACTCCACAGCCACACTGCCAGGACACCCAATCCCCCCGCCCTCGCACGCAAGGAGCCCTGAGGACCAGGCCTTCTGGCCGAGCTCAGGTGGCCCTTCCTGGGCCCAGACTATGGATGACATCACAGCTCTTTTATCTTGACGAAGTCAAAGATGGCTTCCACCAATACTTTTCGTTAGTGCATTTATTTTCGCCCAATCATAGAGAAATGATAAGCTACAAGGCAATATTTATATAATCAATACGTGATCAATACGTACAATATGAATCTATAATTGAGCACAAATTATGACATTTTAAATGAGATAAAACTGTTTTCCTTATCCTCATTATTATCAAGAGAGCAAAAGCAAATCTATCTATCTATCTATCTATCTATCTATCTATCTATCTATCTATCTATCTACCTATCTATTAAAGAATAGCGACCATTTGAACTAGAAAGCCCTTTTTGATTGTGGTAATCTACAGTGACGTAACATTTACTATACTCATCATCTCAAGGGCACCAGGTATTAAATGTATTCACCGTCTGTGGGATCAGCGCCTGTATCATTTTATCTGTCCAAACTAAAATCCTTCGCTTCTTCCACCCCAGGTCCCCGTTCCTCCTTTGGCCAGCCCCTGGCAGCAATGGCGCTTCGTTCAATCTCTACGATTCTGACGCCTGGTTTTGAAAGCGCAGCATCCCGATCACCACAGACACAGTGGTTTAGAAGATGAACGTGCAGGAGCCCCGCGCCCGGCTTCTCCCGTCACTCAGAATCCCCCGGGGAAAGTCTACATTCAAATTCTATGACCTCCTAGGTGTTTCTGGTCACGCGACGCTTTAGAACTGCTGCTCATCAGTATAAACCACAGCTAAATAATAAGAAAGTTAGGGAAAGTTGCTTCCTAGAAAGTAAGTCTTAGCAGAAAGGGACTGTCTCTGTCACAAATCTCCCCAGTTCTGATTTGTACTCATTTATGTTTAGGGCAATCATTAAACTGAATTCTGTAATTCATAAAAAATTGCCTTCACTTTTGACAGGTGCTGGTGGCTCATGCCTTCAATCCTCGCTACTCAGGAGGCCAAGATCTGAGGATTGGGGTTTGAAGCCAGCCCTAGGCAGGAAAGTCCATAAGACTCTAAACTACTCTACCCATTACAGGAAAAAATAATAAAGCCAGAAATGGAGCTGTGGCTCAAGTGGCAGAGCACTAGCCTTGACCAAAAGAAGCTCAGGGACAGTGCCCAGGCCGAGTGCAAGCCCAGGACTGGCACGTGTGCGCACGCACGCGCGCGCACACACACACACACACACACACAGGCACATGCACACGCACACACATGCACACACACGTCTTCATTTTTATATAAAAATGTTGAATGTGGTTATCTTAAAGGAATTCTGTCATGCCTGGCTTCCCTTCTTGCTCATCTTTCTACCTAATTTTGATGAAAAGCACCGACTCTTATCCCTGTTTCCTGGCTTGAGAAGCAAGCAGGTATGTGCTGGTTTCTCTGCAGCACAGCACAGCACTGTCTTCCAGCCAGTGCCTCCTTGGTAACAGCTATTTTGGGCGTCTTGAGTATCACTAGGCATAAAGGTAATTCTCAATTACAGCTATCCTCAGTGGACTGGAGTCTTGCTCCTCAAATGTGCATGTATTTTTTAGCCTAAGTTCATTTTGCTACTTTATAAATAAATAAATTAACTTGGTGAAGGGTAAATGTAAGAGGAGAAAAGTGTCGTTTAAATTCGGATTACCTGACTGACAATGTAAATGGCTATTCGGTATCAGACGACGACTATAGAGAGTCAGATAAAGAGAAAGCAAAATCATGAGAGCACATTACAGTTACTTGTCTTGCATCACGTAAGTCAACCGAGCAAGCCAACTACATTACAACAATGTAGGTTTGTACACAATTGCAAGGTTCCCCTTAGACACAGGATCCTTTTTTCAATAGAAAAGCAGCATGTTCAAAGTTGAAAAGGGAGTCTCTCTATGACGTATTCCTAATGACACTGGAACGAAGCCCCTCGCTTCTGGGGAAAGGGCAGGGGCCTGGTCTAAGATTTGGAGGCAGCTCAGGCCACATCCACCTCCCCCTGCAGCAGGTGCCATTTCTTTGAAAGCCCTTGGGGAAATTATTACAATTTAGCATCTCCAGCCCTTACTGGCTTTCCTCAATGAGTCAAGCCTTCCTACCTCCACCCTGTAATCTTGAGGGAGAAGTATGGTATTAATCCACAAATAATCATAACACTCTTTCCCTTAAGTGCAGATCTTTACTTCAAAGAACTTAAAGCACTTCCCTGCTAAGGGAAATGAAGACACTAATCACATTGGTGGATGACATCACCCTCTGCCTGTTATCTGAGAAAAAGAGGGAGAGTTGCCTTGGAGCTATAAGCCAGCAGAGCTAAGAAATCTCACCTTCGCAGGAGGAGATGCTGAGAAGCCAAGTCAGTAACCGCTAGGGCCAGCCATCACTCTTCCATTCCAACCACAATAACAGACTGAATGGCTTGTCTGATGAGCATGCCGCTGGTGGCATCTTTATGGTGATGAAATTGAAAAATGAAGCATGAAGCAAATGTCTAGCTGGTGGTGCTAGGAATAAACTACCGAAGGATAAAAGGGAAGCAAGTTCTTCTTTTTCTAAGTTAGCTTTGTATAGGAGATAAAAGGTCAGCTCTCTTCCTGTTGTCCATGTAGAAAGGAACTTTCTATTTTGATGAAAACAATGCTTCATGCTGCCTTTTGGCTATAAAGGAATATCAATGGCTCCAAATTCTACCTCTGAAATGGAACACCAAGGTATTTAAAAGTTTGATATTCATATCTATAGGTTGTTCTTCCTCTACAGATACCCTAGGCTACAAGAGTCCACTCATCTAGAAGACCATCTCTGTAACCAGCAGAGACATTTTATTGGATTGTGGAATGAAATAAAGCATATTTACTGGCCAAGACTGCCAGCCATATAGTAACATTTACATGGTAACCTAATAGACAAGGGACAAATGTGTGGTCTCTGCTATGCCCTTTGCTGCCCCTGGTGCAATGCCAATATACAATTTATGAATACTCAAGCTCTTCTCCAAAGTGTAGCTCAGTAGTAGGCCCTGAGCAGATTCATTCCACTCTCTCTGGGAAGAGGAGATCCAACCTCAGTGGTGAAACGCTAAGCCTTACTCCTGACTGCTCCTCTTTTACGGCATCTACAGAGTAAACTCGCTGACTTGTGCCTCCCTCTCTAGCACACAGCAAGGCACTGAAGTGTTCTAGCCTCACGATGCTGCACAGGACCTTTGGAAGCTACCAGATGTGGTTACTAAGGGCTGTGCTTCCAGAGAGGTGAAGAGACTCCAGGCAGGAGAACCGGAATAAGCCTCCACATTAAAATGGCCGCCATGAGCTAGCACCTCACTGACTTTGACGTCAGAGTGGAAGACTTGATTTTCCCAGTTTGATTCCCTAGAGAACTGAGGCACACAGGGTCACAAACTGGACACGGGAGCATCAGATGAGGGGACCCCAAGGATGGAGATTCCTGTCACTTCACAAAACCATGACCAGTTTTAATTATCTGAGACTTAAAAATGAGACCAGTAGAAGGCCTTGGCCTAAGATAGGACTTTAGGCTGGTCACACATGCCCTAAATCCAAGATCGGTGGTGTCAGAAGCACAGATGCAACAATCTCTTGGCTGAGGGTGATCAGCTGAGGTCAAAGGAAATTCCTGGCCAAAATTAGTAGAGAAAAAGACCAACCTGTCGAGATCAAAGCCCAAGATCCGTTCAGATGACTGGAATATAAAGCAGAGTATGGATTACAAGGAGGCAAGATTCAGATGCTAAGAGATTCCAGTAGAACATACTCAATTATCTTGAAATGAAGAAGCTAAAGAACAGCCGAGTTCTCTCCTAAGCCACATTTCTTTATGTTTCTGAGAAACCATGCACAGCAAACCTATCTTCCAATTTTGGTTAATACTCACTACGCTAGTCTATGGGGGAAATTCTTTGTGCTTAGGTTACTGGAGCATACTCCTCTCTCTTCTCAACTAAAAGAAAAAATCACACCGTTAGTTCCAGACTGCTGTCAGGATGAAGACAGGATGGTTGGTGCAGAGAGTAGAAGTGGTGGAATGTTACCCTGGTCCATAGTGCTTTCAGTCCTCTATCCCAAACAGCCTCCAAATCCGGTTTCATGAAACAACCACGACCTAGCAGATAGCAGGATTGGCAGGTCATTTCCTGGACACAGCAGCTGTCATCTAGCTGGACTTCCTGCTATAGGAAGGAAATACAGGATGGGTAGTCCACTTCTATTCATGGAGCCTCTAAGCCTGTGATTGAAGCCACACTGTGGGCGGGGAACGAGCTGCAATGTTTTTCCACGTTAGGTCAGGTGCTGGTCCAGAGGCTTATTTATTTCTGGGTTAGGATAGGAGCTAACAGAAAGGTGAGGCCCTGTGGCAGAGTTGGAAAGCATCCGTCAGTGCTCCCGCAGTGTCCCGGGCCGTGGCAGCTGGCGCCCTGAGCCCGTGGGAGGGGACGCAATGCTGAATCAGCATGCCACTCGATTATGAACTTGGAAACATCCAGAGAAATCTCAACTGCCGCGGATCAGCGGTTAACTCTAAAGAAAGAGTTCAGCGATGCTTAGCGGAGAAGCTATTGTAAGGCCAGCTTTTGATCAGCAGGGATGTCAAGATTCAACCAGAGCTGATGTGGACGTCCAAAACAGCCCTGCCATGCTGCCATTGCCAGGAATAAGAATTTCTCTCTTCACGTTACCCATTTCTGAGTGCTTTGGTTAGAAATAGTGAGCCGAACACAGCCACTCCCCTGTACAAAGAGAAGCTTCAGCCTCTTCGTGACTTGCATGACTGAAGTTTGTTCTACATTAAAATCCTTTAACCCTGTAGATTATTCCTTCAGCAGATTGGTAGCTCTTCTCTCTAAATCCTGAATTTCCAGAACTAT